ACACACACACACACACACACACACACACACACACACACACACACACATCCCTACTACTCATATCCTGCCATAATGGCTTGCAATGAAAACAACAGTGATACAGTGAATGAAAAACAAGAATAAGGGGTAATAATTACTACTGTTTACTGGTACATGCTGAGTGAACTATCAAAATTCAATCAACAGAAAATTAAAGTATCAAAAAATCTCTCTTAAGGTTTCATTTTCATTCTAACAACTTTCTGTCAACAAAAAACTGCAAAAACCACCTTGATAAATTCTTTATTTTAAAAACTGCTTAGCCAGATATTTTTAGTTCCTACTTATTTTACTCTCCAAAGTGATCACATTTCAACTATATTAAAGAATTGCTGTCAAATGTCCAAAATATTAGTAATTGAAAATATGACCTTGTTTTAGCATTCTTGTACATCAATATCAGGATTTTATACCCATTCCAAAAATTTGGGGAAAGGATGAGAATAAGTCATCAGATTTGGTATATTACTTCTAACTTAGGAAAGAAAAGCTCACATTTGTTTACATATAAAAAAAAAGAATATTAAGGGCATGAATGCAATGCTATCAGGCCTACAGTTATACAGGCCTTTTTATATAATCATTCACAGTATGAAAGGTATATGTACATATATGCATATAAGCATACATACACACATATGTGGACCATAAAAAATAAAAGATGGAATGTTTCAGAAAAGAGAAAAATGCACAGAATGTAAAAATAATCATGGCTATAGTGGGGTTGATATGGCTGGTGAAAAAAACAGTCCATTTCTTAAAAGGAAAGTCTCTAAGTTTGAAGCTATGACAGTAATAAAATGCAAAACAGTATGAAAACAAAAAGCAAAAAACCCATAAGCATCAAATTTGGTGGGAAAACATTAAGCAAAAAGGATATTAATAAAAATGCATTTCTTATGATCAACCAAATCTTCACTGACTTAATGATACAAGGTGCATAGTCATGAAAATCACCCAGATTTTTAATATTTGTATTAAAACAGTTGTCTCCCTCCCATCCACCCAGATTCAATTCATGTTTCCTGCAGAAGTATAACACCACTGCATTAGAAAGTACAAGAAATGAAAACAGTGAGTACAACTGATATCGATCCATTGACTTTTATTACAAATGTACTTGATCACTTGGCTTCAAAAAGTTTAAATCAATACCCTATTTTCTGTATGCTAGTACAAAGCAGACTGTTTTACAAATTAAATACCTAAAAATTTGACAAAAATATTAAAATTTGATGAAAAACAATTATAAAAATTCTTAATCTCTCTTTTTAAGAAAGGAGGCAATCTTCTCCAGACCTGTTACACAATATTAATGTTGACAATTTTTAGACTAGGTAGCTAAGTTATATTTTGTTGTTAGCATACATAGTTCTTGGACTAATAGTTTTTATTGGTATGTAATTCAGTTAATTTCCTGAATGCCACCTGATTGAAATGTAATCAACTATCTTTAATTTAATCCTAATTTACACTTACTTTGCATAGTTTGCAAGGGATAAATATTACACTACAATTAATAGTGTTGTTATAGTGCTATTTTAAAAGGCAACAATGTACTTGTTCCCAAATAAAAATAATTGTCTACTTTGGATAAGGGAAGGGTTAAAATTACTAGCAGCCTTCTGCAGACCTGAATAAACAAATCAAGATAGTAATCCATTTTTACTATAGCAACTCTATTCTTTAAAAAGTATTTGTAAAATCTTGAAAACAAAACAAAACAAAATACTGCTAAAATTTATACTTTAGTTAAACTTCAATCCCTTTTAGGGAAAACTAAAAAGTGACACTGTCAAGGATTTTTGTTGGTATGTTTTGGTTTAGAGACTCCATGGCTTTTGAAAAGCTAGAAAACAATATTTTTTCTCTCTTATTGTTTCTTTCTATTTGGCAAATATTCATCTATCCTCCAATCTGTATTTTATAGAGTAAAAGCCAACATGGCTTTTCTTAGGAACTTCCTTTGCTGTGAAAAAGCACGTATAATGATTTCTGTACAGTTCTGGTTAGTTAACTTTAGCTCCCTCTGTGGCTGGATGACTGCTACTCAGCATGAAAAATGTGAGGCACAAATCAACAGTGGCTTTTAAAATAAAAGAGTAAACATCACCACCACCACCACCACCAACACCACCACCACCACCACCACCACCACCATCACCACCATCACCACCACAATCACCACCACCACAATTGGTATTTAAATCTGGTGGCTATTTTCCTCTGGGTTGAATTACTTGACAGTGTCTCATTTTAAAGAATGTCAATATTGCAATGAATTTCAAGTTTTCTTTCATACTCAGGCAAATATAATTTGACTAAGCTATTGGACCATTATAAGACAAAGCAGATCATTAAGGAAAATAAGGCAATACTTGTCAGGAATTGGTTTTGTTTTCTGTTGTTTTTTTTTTCCTTTGGCACATTTGATCATACTGTCTTCTTTGAGTTACACATATGGTCAAATATACCAATACCTTTATTGTTCTAGCATAAACAGGGTTACCATTTTAAGAAAAACAAAAGAAACAACTTTCAGCTGCAAAACACTGAGATACTGAACCTTAGTAAGGTACCAAGCATCTTGGGGGGGGGGGGGAAGAAGGGAACAAGGATAAACCCATGCAACAAGAGCATCTTTTCCATGGTCACCATGTAAATCTTAGTATATCTATAGGTGGATTCAAACAAAAATCCACTGACTGCAAATCAGACACCATGCACAAAAACTTGCTAAGATTGTGTTCAATCAACTCTTATAGCATAACTAGAATTGCACAACCCATATACTTCTATCTGGTCCAATTCCAAAACAGAATCTGAAATCTACAGTCAAGGTTTCCCTTAGGTAATTCCGACCCTAAAGAAAATCTTGTGAAAGAACTCTCTTCTCTATGGTGAGAAAGGTCACTTTGCCTAAATTTGACTTGGTTTTGCTGACTTGCACTGCTGGCACTTATAAAACACTGATGCAGAAGTATTCCAACCACCTGTGATACAAGGCTTAACTTTTTAGACCTACAATAAACCAGAAACAAAAATCAAAGCAAATCACTTTTCTAACTAGAAACAGCACAGATAATGCAATCTTTTCTATATCACAGTTGAAGTACAGTGAACAAACTGCTCAACAAACTTTAAAACAACAACAAAAAATCCCAGGTCGTTAATCAATGTTTACATGCAGGTGAAAAGCATTCCAAATGACTCACATTACGTACTGTCAAAGCTTAATTCTACTACTTGGAAATAAGAAAAATGCATCTTGGGGAGAAAAAAAGCAATTTAATAATTTCCAGTGATCTTTAAGTAAAAGAAACTCCTAACTACTGTAAGGTCATATCATATTTAACATTGCAGGAATACTAAAAGCAAATTATTTAAAAGAGAAATGCACAGTACAATGGAAATAGCTTGTTTATCCAACAAATACAGTAGATCTCAAAAACAAAGAAAAAACACAACCAGGGAACTTTAAAAATATAAAAATAAAACCAAATGAACCAGCAGAAAAGTTACTTTAGACAACTTTTTCACCTTCCTAGGCCAATGCTTTACAATCATTGAGAAGCACAGATACCTTCCTGTTCCTACAGGTGGTGTCTTCTATATACAGCAGTTAGATCTACATGGTTAGGTTTCTCAAGAAACAAATTATTTCATCCCCAGAACTTTGAGTCAGACAAGATTCTCCATTTACTTAAATGCTTTCGACAGAATTCTGAACAAAAATGTACTGTTTAAGGCATCTTTTTTATAACATTTTCTCTTCACTCAATGATGATAGTCATGCAGCAGTTTAATGATAAAAATATATTAATATTTTACTATACAGCAGCAAGAAGTTAGTTGTCAATTAAAAGCACACAAACGTCTTTAAAGGAAAACCTGTAAAAGTCTATAGTTACAAATAACTTCAGTTTGGAGGACAACAGCTGACAAATCAGTGCTCTCCTAAGTTCTGCATTTTCATACCCTACACCTTGAATATAAGAGTTACAAGAACAAACTTGATAGGAGGCTTGTACACTTGGGGTCACAAATACACTTAAAATAATAATGTAGCCAGTAATAACTAGCACCACAGCTACATGGAAATCCTTTACATACACCAACTTGGCTTTCACTTTTATATGAAACTCAAAATCCATGGCTCAGTAGGATAACTCTATAATTGTGTTGCACTGGTTTCTAACAGGCCTACATAAATTAATAGCACTGGCATAAATCAAAGGATAGCTTCAGACCTCTTGCAAGTTTAGGAAACAGTGCTAGTGTCAGTGACCACACAAAGACTCACTACCTGTTGTCCAAATACAGGTTCACTGGAAATTGCTGCACATAAAGTAAGTACTTTAAGTCTTTCTACACATAATAAAAAAAATATATTATGAACAATACAAGTACATCTCATATACACAATAATGACAATACGCCTACTTAGTTGTAAACCAAACAGGAGCAGAAAAATATTATGGGAGGAGATATTCTTTTTTTCTTTTTTCTTTTTTTTACTATTTGAATAACTTTGGTTCAAACCGTAAAAATCACAACTTAGCAAATTTCATTTAAATGCCTTTTTTAATAATTTTCTTCATGTTCACAGAAGTTTCACTGACCATTTTATATGTTTAAGGTCCAGATGCAATGCATATTGTATAAAAGAGAGCACTTATTGTTTACCTTGCATGAATTAAACCTACGTACCTTTAACTCTACAAACTTCTGCATAACATTTAGACAAAGCTCAGACACAAAGCATGCCTAGCCCTCATATATATACACATCTCTAATCACAGGTATATAGGGTGTCAAATATACTATAATAACCTCCATGTAAGGTTTGAAATTTGGTAACAAAATGAGAAGAAAAAACTAAAAATATTATTTTACGTGTTCTAAAATATCTCTTTTTTTGTGCTAAAGTCAAATGTTAGCTCAACATGAAAAGGACTTTTTTTAATATAATTCAGCAATATTATAATCTTGACCATTTTGCAAACACTTTTAATAATAATAGCTTAAACGTGTACAAAAGTTCTTGGTTAATTAGGGAAATAAACACTCAGTTCTTTATATTTTTTAATCAAGTAGGAAACACAGTTCATATATAATGTTATTACTTTTTTGTTTTTTTTTTTGTTTTGTTTTAGCAGCTGCTTACTGTTTTATATGGTGGATAAAGTGGACAACATCCAGCGATGGGTGGCAAGTCAAGAAGAGAAACTGTCAGTTGGTGGAGGTTCGGTGGGTGGTGGGTGCTCCCTTGGAGTTAACAGTTACATTTTTTTTTAACATTTTTTAAATTTTATTTTCTCTCTTTCTTTATAGTATAGTTTTTTCCTCTCTGTTTGTGTGTGTATGTGTGTTTATGTTTTTTACAGTTTGATCAATCTTCCTCCCCCTCCTCCTCCCCCTGCAGCAGCAGGGTTGCTGCTGCTGTATCCTCCTGCTGCTGCTGCTGCTGCTGGTGGAGCTGCTCGCAGGCAGCCCGCTTCTCTCTCTGCTTCTCCTGGATCTTCTTCATCTCCTCGGAGTACTTGCAGAAGGTATGGCCGAACTTGGCCCACACTTTATAGGGGACAGTGATGGAGTTGCGGTAGGTGGGCTTCACTTCGCTCACCCGCATGAACACCCCGTACTTGTTGGAGCCCACGTCGAAGAAGAAACGCTTGTTGTCCACAGTCAAGGAGGTGCCCTCGGGCAGCTCGGCCGGCTCCTCCTCCACGCCATAGTCGTCGATGAGCTTGGCCAGGGCGTCACGGAACTCGATGAGCCCCTGGGCCGGCAGGGCGATGGTCTGGCCCTGCGTGGAGCCCAGGCCGGGCCCCCGGTTGACCGTCTGGCGGATGCGGAGGAAGCGGCCCCGCTGGTTCTCCTTGAGATCCATGTAGTACTTGCGGTTCTCCCGCACCAGGAACTCGCTCTTGAGCGCCCGGCGCGGCTCATCCTGCGCCTGGGCCAGGTCCGGGGGCTGGCTGGGGCCCAGCTGCGCGTAGTGCTCGATGAAGTCGCCCAGGTAGTCACGGAACTCCACGGCCACCGACATGGAGAGCGTGAGGCGGCTCTTGTTGCCCCCAGCGCCCACCTCGGCGATCTTCAGGAAGCGGCCCTTGGCATTCTGCTTCACGTCCAGGTAGAAGCGCTTGTTCTGGATGTCCACCCGCTTGGAGGCCAGCTCCTGGGTCTCATGCTGCAGCCCCCCCGGGGCCCCTCCGCCGCCCCCGCCGCCGCCGCCCCCGCCGCCGCCCGAGCCAGAGCCCGGGTGCCCCAGGGAGCCGCCGGAACCCAGTGCCGCTCCGCTTTGCTCGCTGCCACTGTCTCGGTCCGCCATGATGCTGCCGCTCAGCCGGCCGCCCGCCGCCGCCGCCGCCGCTGCCTTCCCTTCCCCCGGCTCCGCCTGCCGCCGCCGCTGCTGCTGCAACCCCCACAGCCAGCCAGCCGATCTCGCGAGATCTGAGGGAAAAGAGACGAGACAGACGAGACCCGGTAACAGGGCACTGACTCCCCGAGTACAGTAACAGGGCGCCCTACTGTACGGCGCCCGGCACGTGACCCCCCGCGCGCTCGCTAGCGCTCACTCCCCCCTTTTTATCCCCCCCACCCTGCCCCAGCCTGCGAGGCAGCGCCCACCCCCCCAGCACCCGGGTCCGGGGGGGGGAGGGGAGGGAGAGGGAAAGGAGGGAGCTGGGACGCGTCGTCGCCGCCGCCGGGCTGGACCCCTCCGCCGCCACAGCCCGCAGGGGAAGGGGGGGAAGGGGGAGCTGCCACCATCCGCAGAGGGGAGGGGCAAGGCTTCAAATAGGTCAGCGCCGGTTCCGACGTCCGTCGGGGCCCAGGAGACCCGGGAGCGGCCTCCCCGGGGCCTGCGCAGCCACCTGGTGGGAGTGGGAGAGAGCCCGAGGCAAGGCCATTCCCCTGATTCCCCCATCCACCCAATCTAAAGTGCGGTGAGGGGACAGGCCCCGCTCCGGGTTCTCCTACCGCAGAGCCCTGGCCCCGGAGGCGGGAGACCGCAGGAGGATGAGGAGCCGCCCGGCCTCCCGGAGATAGAGCAGAGGCCGCCAGCGGAGCAGCAGACACCTTGCCTGTCCCTCCCTCTGTCTCTCCCCCTCCCTCTCTCTCTTCTCTCTCTCTCTCCCTCCCTCCTCCCCCTCCCCGCGCACGGCAGCGGCTCTGGCCTCAGATGATCCCGCTCCCCCTCCCCCCAACCGCAGCCCCGCACCGCCCAGTGCACCCGGGTGGGGGCACTAAGGGAACAGAAGGAGAGGCCGGAGACGAACTGCTGAGGGCGCTTACAGGTCCTCATCCCCTCTCCTTTGCCCCCCCCAAATCCCACCGAACCCTAGTAAGTTGCAACCAGCCCCTTATAGGACAGCACTGCACAGCCCCCCACCTCCATCAGCCCAGGGAAGGGGGGCACCAGGCTCAAGGGTTGGCTCAGCTTAGGTTGCAGACCAGCTATGCAGCAAAACCAGGGTACCCTGCCATCAAACGCAGGAAAGAGTGGGTTTCCAGAATAAAGGAAGAATCAGAATAAAGGAGAAAACCAAACCAGCTTTAGGAAATCCACTCTATAAAAATACCATCATTTGAGGAGAAGGGGGAAACTACATCTCTTTGCCAAAATTCATTAGGGCAGGTCTGAGTCCTTTTCTGTCCTAAGATCAGGACTCTCCAGATGTGGCAGGCATGGACTATCCCTCTCTCCTCTCTAAATCAAACAAACAAAAAGATCACTTTTTGTCTTAAGTGAGGGAACATGACAAGTCAATGCCTGTGTAACATCGGGTCCTCAGATGATGATGGAAAAAGGAAGATGTCTTAGGAGAGTAGTAGGAAAGAGAGGAGGACCCAAAAGTCCTTGGTTCATCTTCTAAGTCAACAACCAAGGACCCATTCCCTTTCTCTCCGGCAGAAGACATTTCCCCCAGTCCTTTGGGAGGTTCTGAGAAAACTGGGGCTCCCTATCCACACTCTTCACTTCCTGAGGGGCCTAATGAAAGGAACCCACAACCCAATCCTTTTTCTTCAATGCTAAGTGCAGGAGGAGGGTTTACTACTCCTTTCCCCAGCAGAAAGAAGAGACCAAAACCTGAACAGGTTTCTCAGAGACCTGAAGGTTCCAGTGCCCAGCCCAGGACTGCCTTCTCAACTAAGCCTTTCCTTCCCAAAGCTCAGTTGTGATGTAAGAAGGGGCAATAGGAAACCTCTACTAAGTATGGGAAGGATCTACAATCAAAGGGGCAAGAATATCAATGAGATCATTTTGGGGTCCAAAACCATGTAATAGTCCCTTCTCTCTAAAGTAGGCCTGTCATACCTTACTAATCAAGGGCCCTTGTACCTAAATAATCAAGAGTCCAACTCTCCTTGATTGAAGGTAAACTACTTAAACCCAGGCACTCATTCCACTGATATAGGCTATCACCAAAGTAGTAGGATTCAAATAGTTCCTGATATCAAGAACCAAGTCCAAAAAACAACTATGTGTGCCACCAGCCCAGAGTCACCAACCCATGCCCTGGGCCAATCCAATCCAATAAACATTTATTATGTACATTTATTATGTACCTACTATATACAAAACACTGAGCAACAGGTTCTGGGGGAATGGCCTCAGAGAAGGGAGAAAATTCCCAGCTCCGTGTCAAATACAAATTGTTTTCTCCAGATGAGAATTTTTCAGGCATCCCAGTAGAGATACAACACAGAGTCCTTCTCCATTCTCTTCTGTCCTTTCCCACCCCTCCCTGACGCCCAGGGGAAGGGGAAACTAGGTTCTACCTCCTCTACTACCTTTTATACAGAAAACCCACTTGCTTGCTCCCTTGGAGGGGTCTAGTCTCTATTATATCAGCAACGGCAAGGAAATCGACAAAAGTGCTCCATCAGCAATGATCAGGACCCTGGATAGACCTGGGTCCCTTCCCTTTAAACAGAGATTTGCCTCCTGTTCCGTATCCTATACATTTGTGATAGTGCTCCCAGGTTGAGCTTTGGTAGCTAGAGAATGGGGTTTTGAGCAGACAGGAAACTGGTACCTTCAACTGGGTTCCTCCACTTATTTGGGTTTTCCTCACATTTTCAGAGAAACCATTTCCCTAGCAGAGTAGGAGAGGGCAACAGAAACGCTAAGGAACCAACACCCCAATGGACAATCTTCTCTAGGGAGGCCACAGAAAAAGGAGTTGGAATCACAAATCCTTTTCCCATAGTTTCTTACCGCCATAGTTTTTGCTTTGAGAAACAGAAGTTGTGTTTGGGGATCCTCAGATTTCCCCAAAAAGCAACTGTAGCCCCTAGACGCTCAAAAAGGTCTTGTGTCCTCAAGCGGGACCGTAAATACATTGTTCCCGTCAAAGCAGTTTTCAAAGAGAGGACGAGATGAAGCCCATTTCCTCCGACCCCATTGATGCAAGTTTCAGAGGAGCCCCAGGGAACAGAGGCTAGGGAGACCAAAATTGGGAGGAGACAAACTACCCCTGATACAAGCATCACCACATTAACAACAACAACAACAACACAACAAAAACTGCAGGCATTTTATACCAGTTTTCCTTTCCAATATTCCTACTTTACGCTACAGCCAAAGAGAGAAAGGAATAATATGTATCATCATAAAACAGTTCAATTATAAATCAAATAAAGCAAATTTTAACTGCTGGAGTAGGAAAAAAAAGAATTTCATGCAAATTCCCTAAGGGCAAATGGTTCTAATGTTAAGGGGAAAAAACTGGTTCTCTCTACTCTAGAGATGCCTACAGAGGCGCTCTGAAAAGAATGAATGTGATTGAAACTGGGTATGATATTTACAACGAAAAATTGTTCAAATTTGATTAGAATTTTGAACATTGGCTTACAGTTGGCATTTATATTCCAAATAAAAAGCTTATCCACTTAAATAAGAGAAATCTTCTCCTTTGTTAATTATCTGAGCTTTATTCATCAGGGCGACTAAAAGATGCCTCATATCCAATTATTTATATTTATTATATTAAAGTGTCAGGTATAAATTAAATATGTACAATTGAAATAAAATTGAAAATAAAACAATAGAGAAAACGATATTTAAAATTAAGAGGCTTAAGAGACTCAATGTTAAAGAAGAAAGGGACTTTATCAATCTATCCAAGCCTCTGATTTGATAAATGAGGAAATACAAGTTATCCTCCCAAATTGTTTAAGTGTTTGATTTTTCTTTAAGGCTTGCTCATATTATTGCAGGTGGGAAGCAAAAGCAAAAACCTGTTCAGTAAACAGTATTAAGTTTACTGAGACTATTTTATTGTGCAATTTTGACTGATTCTAGCTTTTAAAACACCTTTATAAAAAAAATAGGTACGATTGCCCATATAAGAAAAGCAAGCTCTGAATACATAAAAACCAAAAGAAACCAACTCAATTCAACCAAAAAGAAAAATGAGACAGGAGAAGGAAAGGAAGATTATTTGATTTTCAGACTTCAGGGAATTTCAAAATTAACAAGTTCTACTTGGAATTTAAAAAATTAAAGTCAACATATATAGTTAAAACTACAAAACACTAGTAAAAAAAACCCCACATACCTACCTTCCTCCTATCTCTTGCTTGTGGAGTTCCTTAACCAAAACAAGTTATCTTGATTAGGATATCAACATTTTATAATGTGCACAGACAAAAGCAAAACAAGAACTACCGATTTTCATGAGCTACTTTAAAAGCAAAAGAAATCAAATCCCTGACTTAAACCAAATAGTTATCTGAAAATCTGACATCACAACTAAGATATTATATTAATGATACTCAATATGGGGGGCTTGGCCACTTCGTTTAATAACCAGGAAGTATAGGGAAATTTTGGATACATTTTAATATTTCAAAAACCAAGAAACACAGTAGTTTACTTCCTTATGAAACCATTATCAAAACAATTGTCTTATTGCTCCAACCAATTCTTCAAAGTTCTACCTCTTCAAGTCTTTGTCATTCCAAAGGTTCATGGTTAAATTTTTGATGTGAGCATTAAAAATCTGAAAAGAATTCATTTATGTAGTACTACCACATGTTACAAAATGCCATTAGAATCGTTTGAAGAAAATCGAGCAATAAATACAATATTAACACAAAGAAAATTTCGGTAACCAATTTATCAGAGCAGAAGGAGTACCCAGAAGGACAACGCAGGATACAATTTTTTTAAATATTCAGACTCCTGCAACCCATCCTTTCTTATTTTATGTTTTCGTAGTTATTTAAATTGTTTTCAAGATACTCAAAGGAATTAAAAGTTCTAATAACACTGAATACTTCAATTCCCGAAATCTCTCTTGATATTTATAAAAAGCCCAAATTTGGAGGGTAACAATG